TGGGCCCACTTAAAAAGGAAGATCCAAATTTAGCTATACAAAGATGCATAACCAAGTTGGCAAACACAAAGGGAGAACTTGACTTGAGCCAGGTTTAGAGGATGGCCAACCAAATTGGCAAACACAAAGGGAGAACTTGAGGTGATCCAAGAAGGTTGTTCTTGAGGTATTTTGTAATCCTCTAGCTAGGTTAGGGAGAACTTTTAATCCCATCAAAGTATAGTGGAGTTGTGGCTTGGACTACGGTTAGGACTGCAGATGAGTCGAGTCAACCCGAGTTTTACCCCAACTTGAGCTCGGCTTGCTAGTAAACGAGTTAAGCTCGAGCTTGACTTGTTTATTAACGAGACGAGTCAAGTCGAGTTCGAGCTAGCTTGGTTATAAAAATCTTGGCTCGTATTTGATATATACATTTTGTATGTCATATACAACACATGTGATCAATGTCAAGATGAGAATAATAATAATAATAATAATAGTTAAGTGTTCAATATTAATTAATCTCATGTTATAATTTGTGGTATCATATTATCTAGTTAATAAATTTTAACTAGTGAAAATAATGTTATTTCATAGTATCAAAACAATCTATGGACATCGTTTCTTTTTAAAATTAAATAAGATATATTTACTCACATAATCTACGTGTTAAACTTCATATAGGGTGAGATATATAATTTAACAAGCCTATCAGTTATCAAAATGAAACTCATATAGGTCGATTCACTAATAAGTCAGTATCGAGTTGACTCTTTAGCCACAATGTTGAGAGTTGAGATATCTCATTAGCTCTAAACGATTATTGGCATGAGTGATATTCATCTAGAAACCAACAAGAGTTGCAAGCTTGTCGTAAAGAAGGTGAGGCATGTTCCCGACATGAGGTTGAATTTGATATCCACCGAAAAGCTTAATGATGATGGTTACACCAATTATTTTGGAAAAGAGAAATGGAAGCTATCAAGAGGTTCTCTTGTGGTGGCTAAAGGCAAGAAGAAAAATACACTCTACATGAAGAATGCAAAAGCATTGAAAGGGAGGAATCAATATTGCTGAGAAAGACTCTCCTCCATTTAGCTTTGCATAACAGAATCAGTGATTTGACCGAGAAGGACATGCAAATAGTCTCTAAGAAACAACTCCTGCCCGAACCGGATGCTCACCCCTAATGGCTTTTATATAGTAGATCGAGAGTGATAGGGGAGTAGCGAAGCCCTACCTGGCAGAGCTCCTAGCAGTAAGAGATGCTATCACCATTGTCGCCTCAAGTTCCTTGACTCACATGATAGTGGAAGGTGATTCGAAGTGGTCGTCATCTAGATTCAACAAGTTATTCTCGAAGGTTGCTTTGGAGGTCCGGTGCACCGGGAGTGTCGCTAGTTCTTAGACTCTTTGTTAGTTTGTATAGAGTTTAGGGCGGTTCCTAGAGTCGCCAACATTGCTGCCCATAGAGTGGCGCTTAAAGCACTGCTTGTCTCTCATAGATGTAGAGTCTTTCAACTTTTTTTGGGTGGCTTCACTAGGGTGTCGCTTGTAGGGGATTTCTAGGCTTGTAGGGGATTTTTGGGTAGTTTTATTTGTATAACTCTTGTCTTATCTTGATATCACTCGGAAATAATAAAAAAGGGTATTAGAATGTAATGAATAAGATATGGAGGTGCAAAAGCATGATGCTATTGCAATATTTTGGCGAGATGGTGACAATAAATGTACAATTCACACAACACCGAGTTAGCAAGGAGATGAACTAACTGGAGTAGTTGCTTCCCACGAAGATAAGATTTATGCATATCCGAAAATGAAAATAGAATTCGTTTCAACTAAACTATGACAAAAAAAAAAATATATACGCAACAAAACTTCTACCACCGACTACATGCAATTAGCGGTGGTAAAACCTTTCGATGAACTCTTAATCTTTGTTATACATAATACTTCGGGTCGTGAGACTTTTCGATGAACTCTTACTCTTTGTTATACATAATACTTCGGGTCGTGAGACTCTCAGAGTGATATTTTTATTGATAATATGATGAAGATGGATTTGTAAATTATGAGATCTAGAAAGGTCAATAATTTGGGCGGCCATCGAACATTTTTTGAAGGACTGAGGTGAGGTACAATTATCGTTGGTTCGAATTTTGCTAGGGGTCGGCACGGCACTCGACGGTCAGGCCGGGCAAGCGGCAGTGTACAATGTTAAGGTGCCGGGCACCTCTACTGTTCTTTCTCAGGAAGATCCCGCCATCACGCCCCTCTCTAAACCCTAACCCTAATCCCAATTTTCTGCTCCAATTGGGCCCCTCGAGCTGTATTCCAGCCTCAAATTCTTCTCCCCACCGTCGTCGCCCTAACATTTACTCCTTCAATTACAGCTCCCAATCACAAGCAATGACGGTCTCAAGCTGCAGCCCCGTTTCTGTTACTTCTCGCCCGGTTCCCATTTCCGCCGCAGCCGACTCCGACGACCAGCCAAACCCACATTCCACTCTCATGGTCGTGTCCTTTTATCGCTTTGCTGATTTCCCTGACCACGCCAATTTGCGGAAGCCATTGAAGGAGCTATGTGAGGAACTGGTACCTTCTCTGCCCCTTCCCCTCATATTATTCACTGATAATTTAATTTGGAGTTTGTGGTTGAGTGATAAATGGAATTTTTTCAATGTGTGGTCACTCTGGCATTTGAGTTCGTCGCTTGAACTGGATGATGCCCTTACGCTGCGAATTAATGAGGTGTTCTCACATTGCCAAGTTGATCCTTTTCAGCGTGTTTCAGGTGGTATTATTCTTGCACCGGAAGGAATCAATGGGAGCATATGTGGGACGAGAGATTCCGTTGAAAAAGTTCTTGCAGTTATTGAGAGTGATTCCCGACTAAAGGGGCTTAGGAAAATAGAGTCACCTGTTAGTCCAGAGGAGGAAGCTATCCATCATGGTCACACCAGCAGCTCTCCCCTTGCTGCAGGGGAAGATGCACCTTTTCGGTGGGATCATGTCAGGGTGAAGCTGAAGAAAGAGGTAATTGCATCTCTAGACTCCAAACAAAGTTATTCATAGCACTACTGAAATCCTGATTTTGCAAAGTTCATCCGGGTTTGATCAACTTGTTCCTAGACAGATTGTCACTCTTGGGATGCCAGCTGTGTCACCCATCGAAAAGGTTGGGAAGTACGTGAAGCCAAGGGAATGGAATGCATTGATTAGTGATCCAGATACAGTGAGTGTGTTGCTTTCATTTCACTTCCCAAAAGTTGGATACTCTGCTATCATAAACATTGAGAAGTTTGACACCAAAGTGTTTCTTGGATAATCCATATTGGATTTGAAGAAGCCCTGACTGAATTTTTATTTTATTTTTATGCCTAGGTGGTGATTGATGTGAGAAACAACTATGAAACAAGAATAGGGAAATTCAAAGGAGCAGTTGATCCCTGTACCGCAGCATTTCGGGACTTCCCTTCTTGGGTGGATGATCAGTTTGAACTTCCTGAAGTAGAAAACTTGAAGCAGCAATCAATTGACAGCTCTGGGTTGAAAACCGAGAGCCCAGAGAGTAAAAAGGCTCCACGAGTTGCTATGTACTGCACCGGTGGGATTCGGTGTGAGAAAGCTACAAGCTTTCTCCTCCAGAAAGGTTTTGAAGAGGTAACTTTTCTGTGCCGAATCATATTTTGCTTTGTACTGATCTTCTTGATTGCAATCAGCTCTTATATGTTATTAGGCTGAGAAGGACCATGTCATTATAGGCCATCACTAATGCATTTAGCCTTGCAGTTTTGTCTCCTTATATTTGTTCGCATAACAGTACCCTTTAAAATCATAGGACTTCTACCAATATTTTTCGAAGATTTATGACGGACATTGTTGTAAATGAAATTTGGGTCCTGGTTGAATTTGCTTGTGAGTGAGCGACTTATTGAATGAACCATAATAGATAGACAACTTGCTCACTGACAGGTTTATCATTTGGAAGGAGGAATCTTGAAGTACCTCGAGGAGGTTCCACAACCGGAGAGCCTGTGGGAGGGTGAATGTTTTGTCTTCGACAAGCGAGTATCTGTTGAGCACGGTTTGGCACCGGGGACATTTAAGCTCTGTTATGGATGTAAACAACCAGTCAGTGATGCAGACATGGAAACACCAGAGTGGGAACATGGAGTTACTTGTCCCTACTGTTACTCGTCGAAATCTGAAGAGGAGAAAGAGAGGGCTCGAGCACGAAAAAGGCAGTTTGAGGCCTGTGGCATTCTTGGCGGTCCTGACAAGGGTCGACGGTCCACATCCAAGGAAGAGGTGAGCGCGAAGAAGAAATCTTACAATCTTTCCACTTCAAGTTAAGAAACTAAAGTTGTATTTGTTTACAGCTAAACATGATCGTCCTAATATAGTAATGCGTAGGTTCTGATGATAGGGGCAGCTTTAGCAAAGATGCCATTAATCCTGTAGTCACATGAGAAGGTCCTTTTTTGAGGAGTGACCCAAGTGGGCGGATCCTTGTGTAAGTGAATTCAGTGTTATTGGATAGATTGTTGCTGTTCTCCTATGTATCTCAGGGAGGGTGACTTGAAACAATAAAATGAAGAAGGTTGGCTTGTAATGGAGTTGCCTTCTGATTTGTTTCTTTGAGATGTTTTGATTTTCTTGAATTTTCTAAGGTTGCTTGTTCATGTTGAATGTTTATCCATTGCGGCTAGCTCCTTTGGCTATCTTCTTGGTGTATTGATTGTTCATGCCTGATCTGTCTGTCTTACACTAAAAGAAGATGTTTTGTCTTCTGCTCTCAATTAGCTTCCATAGCATAGTGGTAGTGCGTTCGCTTCGTAAGCGAAAGGTCGCCAGTTCGATCCTCGCTGGGAGCTTTTTTCAAAATCTTAATTTTTAGACAACCAGAGAAATATAGTTGAAGTATCAATTTGTAATAATCGAATACTTTGGGTACTCTGTATAGGATACTAGAAAAGAATGACTGCATAGTGGAAGTATCAATTTGTAATAATGGAAAGTTTGGGTACTCTGTATTGAATACTAGAAAAGAACGATTTGCTTGCTCACCACCCAGGCCCAAGGGGGCCCATTGGCCCAATCCTCCATCAAGAAATTACAAAGGGAGCAGGAATATTAGAATTGGAAAGCAAAGCACAGAAGATACCTTTCGTATTCAATTTCGCAGCTTTGATTTTCGATTCTGACTAGGGTTTGGCGTTGCGTTCTGGGTTCCCGCAAGATCAAAATCAAAGAATTCAAAGCTCTATCGACATGGCTGGTGGAGGAATGTTGAAGTCCTTAACCCCCAAGGTTCGTCTCCAAGCCACCGAGATCCAGTCCTTGGCCTTTTGGGGCGCTGCCGCCGGCGCTGGTGCTATCTATCTCGTTCAGGTACGATTTCCGTCCTCCACCATCTTTTTGTCTTCCTTCGCATCGCCCCGTAGATCTCATCGCCTTACGAATAATCAGCCCCACTTCTTTGCATCCTCGTTCGGTTCCGGAGGCCGATTTCCCCCTTTGTTCAGCTATACCCATGTCTAATTTATGGGGGAAGATGCGCATATGAGAAATTCGGAATCATGATCATGATGATGACGATGGTGGTGGTGGGTTGGGGAGGGTCAGATTTATCTTTTTGCAATCGGATTGCTGAGATGATTACTTGTGCCTACAAATGATATTCCTTTGATGGGTAGTTGATATAATATGCTAATGTTTTCTGATTGTGGCCCTGGGTTCTTGTCAGATTTTTTAGGATCCCTGAATGTTTTCTTTTTGGTGATGCTGTGATCATTGTTAGAATTGCAGTTTTGTTTCATAATATTAGAAATGATGGATTGTTAGGGAATGGATAGAATGATAAATGAGTAAGAGAAAGGTGATGGATTGTCTATTTAGCATGGTTGTTGAGGTTGTTCTTGGTTCATTGATGAATTTCACACAGATCCTCTTCTGGTTGTAGGGCAATTCATTTTTGCTGCTTTTGTTTTCAAATCAGTCATCAGTCTTGTATCTTGCTATCTTTTTTCATCCATGTATTTGGTCAACTTTTGAAGTTAATATCCTCTTTCACTATCTTGTTCCCTACCAATTACCATACACGCAGTTGAGTAACTTTTTAAGCAGGCTATCGCAGTGGTTATCTCCATTATCCAATGTCCATTCGTAGCTTCTAGCCTAGCACTTGAATGTCAGATGAAGAACCGGCATTCAAGTTACGAAGTATACTTGATTTTGATTGGTTGTATACTTGTATTCCCCCATCATACATTCTCTTTGATTCCGTTTTAAGTGCTACTAAATTATTTTCGTTCACTGACAAGATAGTGAAGGAAAGTTTAATTTGGACTGTTTCTCAATCTTCACATGAAGTTCACTTTTTCATCGAGCCTTCTTTCGAACCAAATGTTGCTACTTCAAATATCTGATTGAAGATTTCAATTGACATTTCCACTCTGCACGGATAGTCGGATACTAGTGTTCTTTCTCTGATATCCTCCGGTTTTTGTTTGGAGAGTTACGCTGATAATTATTTACCTTCGTTATTCGACTTATTTGTGCAGTATTAATCTTGCTTTCTATACATCTGCAGCCGTTTAATTGGATTAGGAAGACGTTCTTCGAGAAGGAAGCGGGTGAAGGGAAGTGAGAAGGCAGGAGGCCGTATTTGAATTTTTTGGGCAAAATTTTCTGTGTTCTTCTTGCCAGGTTGATTTTAGAGATGAGAGAATGAACCCCAGGGGTTGGACGTAATAATGTTCTGTGTTTTTGGGTTTGACTAATTGTTTGCTGAGGCCGCCATTGCACACTGGTCTTATGTAACCCTTGAATTATATCAGATTGCACTTTTAATTGTTTCTGGAATGCGACTTTTGCCCCCTTTTTCTCGCTTCATATATCTAAAGTCCGTCTGAATGTCTGAATATCGTGCATCTGTACCCAATCAGATAATGCTCCCTAATTGTGCAGGTCCACAAAGAGATCGATATTAGCTCATATGATCTCTTAGTCGGCGATATGATTTTGCTCCCTAATTGAGGATAGTTGCGGTAGGCAAGTTGAGCAGAATTCGTTCTAGTAAATATCACTTTGAGTTCTAAAAATGGTTATGAAGTTCACAGACAACTAGGGATCGGATAGGATGCTCTAATGAATCAATGTATAGGAGAGTTAATTGTAATAGGGTATAGTTTGGGGATCAATTTGTAAATTGACGTATAGCATATAATAGGATTGGGGTTAAAGACACATCTGGTCACTGAGGTTACTAAATCGGGACATGTTTAGTTATTAGAAAAAGTTAATATCAAATTTATCACTGTAATTACTAAAACATGATACATTTAGTCACTCGTCGTTAGTTGTCGTCCAACTCCGTTAACAGAGTCCGTTATGTGCTGACGTGGCTAACGTGAGCGCCTAGTCAGCGTCGTTTTGGGCCGGAAATGATCAAACCTGACCTGCCACGCCACTAAACCCGCCACGTCAGGCATCCAACCCAAACCATTAACCCAACCCGACCCAGAAATAAACCCTAATCCACTTAAAAAAACAAAACTGATCAGTTTCCATTTGCAGACTCGAAAACCCTTCTCCTTCCTTTGTCATCCAATCCCCACTCCACGACCACCCCCGCCATGTCAGCCGAACCGCCGCCGTCGGAGATCATAAGTGCTTAACCCATCCAAGAGAATCACAAATGTAAAGAAAATTTTCAGGGTTGCAATTCCTCTGCCCTCGGCGACGTCAGAGGGAACAGAGTCAGCAGCTGAGCCTTGGATTCTCTCGGCGTCGACACCGGCGAGGGATGTAGAAAAAACCCCTTTTCCGCAATCGCCCGGTCTTCCTCCTCCAACGGCGAGGACGAGCTGCTGCTACTGCTGCAGTTCCCCGCCGATGAGGGGCAGGGTGATAAGGCGTCGTTATTGTGGGAGAATGTGTCTTGATTCAACGGAGTCACTAGGCTCAACGTCAGCTTGGGGAAATACAGCAAGCTCGACGACAAGATCTCCGCGGCGGAGGCGGAGGAAGGGGAAGATGTTGCTCCTCCTCTCGTAGAGTTGCTATTGTTGTTGTTTCTTGTTGGGTATGCTTCTGATGGGAGGAATAGGGAAATGGGTGCTGCCCCTCATCGCCAGTGGCGGTGGCGGAGGATCTTGGGGTCTTGGGGAGGAGGCTTGTTTGGCTGTGTCGGCGGATCCGATGAGAATTTGGACGACTTGCTTGAAAGTTGAGGTATTTGCCTGGACGAAGGTTGTTGGGTAAGGATTCATATGGTGGTGGTGATAATTAGATCTGGGGATCTGGTGGCCGCCATTGGAATTGCTGAAATTACCGTTTGGGAAAGCCAGTGGAGATGATTGTTGTCGGAAAAGATGGTTCTGCTGGGTCTTGGATGATGAAGCATTGTTGTACATTAGTGCTCTCTGCCTACTGCACTGTTACTACTGCTTCCTTCCATTAGTCACTTTGTTTTCTTGCTTAGCCGCCGCCGTGGTTGGAATTGCAAGCCATGGAACTGAATCAAAGTTGTGGAAGAAGGAGAGAAATGGTGGTTGTGACTTGTTAGACTGTGGAGAGAGTGGAGAAAGAGAGAGGGACGAGCTTGGTTGGAGAAAGGGAGATTTTCTTTACATTTGTGATTCTCTTGGATGGGTTAAGCACTTATGATTACCGGCGGCGACGATTGGGCTGACATGGCGGTGGACGACGGGGGTGGTCGTGGAGTGGGGATTGGATGACAGAGGAAGGAGAAAGGTTTACAGGTCTGCAAATGGAAACTGATGAACTTTGTTTTTTTTAAGTGGGTTAGGGTTTATTTCTGGGTCTGGTTGGGTTGGATGTCTGACGTGGCGGGTTTAGTGATGTGGTGGGGCCAAATTTTTACCCCAATTTGTGTATAAGGTTATAGCCAAAGTCATGTCTGGAAGACTAGCCCAGTTCTTACCACAGATCATTTCGGAGGGGCAAAATGCTTACATCTGAGAACGACAAATTGTTGAGAATATCCTATTAGGGCACGAGCTTATCCATTTTATAATCTCAAAATCCGTGGTAAGAAGGGGTACGTGGCTCTAAAGATTGACATGAAAAAAACCTATGATAAAGTCGAATAGTCATTTCTCCTCGTCGTTTTGGAGAAATTGGGTTTTAACCCTACTTGTAGATGCTGAAACCAGGAATGTCTAAGCACGTCGTCAGGGGGACTCCTTGTCCCCTCTCGTATTCTTCATATGCACATAGGGGTTTGCAGACCTCATTCGATAGGCAATTTCCGAAGGAAAGTTAGAAGGGGTAAAAGTTGCCCCCAAGCTCCTCGGATCTCGCATATGTTTTTTGCTGACGACTCTTACTTATTTCTCAAAGGGTCTGTACAAGAATGTGAGAACCTTATTGAGGTTTTATATGAGTATGAGGAACTCAATAGTCAACGGGTTAACTTGAAAAAATCAGCTGTCTACTTTAGCAAAAATATTTCACTTTTGGACCAAGATTTGCTAGCCCAGATTTTGAGAGTTGGAGTTGTGGGTTGTCCACGCTAATAGCCCAGTAAAAAATGACCTCCTTTTGCTTTTGGAGGAAAAGTTGCTGGAACGACTTCAGGTGTGGCTGCAACGGACGTTGTCTTGGGCAACTAAGGAGTCACTGATTGAATTAGTGCCTTCAGTTTTGTCATTGCATGTCATTTACTACTTCAAACTCTCTCTCTCTCTCTCTCTCTCTCTCTCTCTCTATCTCTCTCTCTCTCTCTATCTCTTTGCCGAATCTTAAACAGATATGTAGCCAGGTTTTGGTGGGGAATCGAGGCTGGCCACTCCCGAATTCGTTGGATGTCTTGGCGGAATATGTTTTGTAGTAAGCATGATGGGAGAATGGGGTTTCAAAGTTTGAGCATTTTAACCAGACGCTCTTGACCAAGATTGGGTGGCACATCCTAACCGAATCTCAATCGCTCCTAGCCAGGTTTACAAAGGGAAATATTTTCCAACTAGATCCTTGCTCACTGCTATTGCGCGATCTCGTCCATCATGAGGATGACAGAGTATCCTATATAGACGACAATTATCAGTGAATGTGCTATAGTGCCAGATTGGTAATGGGAGGTCCGCTTGAATGCTGCCTGCATTCTAATTTGATTCCTTGGTTACACCCCTATACCTCTGTGCATAACCCCATGGTGTAACCAGAGTGTGGTTATCCGAAGGTGGCGGAGGTGATTTTCCAAGGGGAGGGGCGATGGTGTGAAATGAAACTCAACCAGTGGTTTGACCTAGATACTTATCGTGCCATTGAAGCAATCCCTCTTTCTCGGCGGGATGTTGAGGATAGGCTAATCTGGCATGACACGTGTGACGAAATTTTCACGATTAAACCGGCCTACCACCTTGCTGTCTTGCTCGACAAGTAGGTTGGTAGATAGCGTCTCACGGTTAGTTGGATGGATAATTCAAGTTGGATCCATTTGTGGGGAGCCCAGATTCCACCCAAACTAAGGGTGTTTCTATGGAAAATATTTCACCAGATCCTCCCAACGAGGGAAGCCCTAATTGAGAAGGAAGTACAGGTGCTTCGCAGGTGTCTGGCTTGTTGAGCGGAGTTGGACACAATGTAACATCTGTTTCATGATTGCCCTGTGACAAGGGATTTATGGGATCATTCTGGTCTCGAATATTTGGGCGGTTTGCCTCTTCACATTTTTCCGCTCTTCCAGAAAAGGTTGATGTTACTTATACAATACAATTGTTTATGGCGATTGTCGCAGTCTTTTGGGAGGATCTGGCAATCACGAAATTGAGTTGTTTTTTAGGGAAAATAATTTGGGATCCCAGGTTTGCGGTGACAATTTCACCAGCAATATGAGAAGTGCATTAGTTTGTGTAGACTGCGTTGTGCGGTCGTCCATCCCACAAGCAAGTTACTTGAGTGGCAGGAACCCTTATTCAGTTATCTGCATGTGGGATAGGGCGACAAAAATGGATCCCATTCAGCTGGGTGAGTGATTATCTAGAACAAAGAAGGGGTGATTTTGTTGGCGAAAGGGGTGCAATTTGCTGATATTGATAATCCTATGGTAGTTGAGCTCCTGGTTCTCTGGGAGGTGATTCAATGGTGTCTAGAGGCCGGGTTCCTGATGACAAGGTTGGAAGGGATGCCAAGGTGATCATTGATAATATAAATCAGGCTGATACCCGAGATATTCGAACATGGGCCATTTTAGTAAGTCTTTTGTTGTTTGGCGATTCACACTAGGATTAATGTGCGATTTTAGGAGTAGTAATAGGGTAGCCCATTCGGTGGTTAGAAAATACCCTATCATCGTACCTGACTACGTGTTGTTTCTTTGATTTTCTGGCCTGACTAAATTCCCATATGTACTGATCTATTGTTATTATCAATATATATGATTATCTTTTGTAAAAGAACTCCCGTGATTTAACAGTTTCATACGGTTACAATGACTAGACACCACCCATTATAACATTTTTACAAGGGTATTATAGTAACTACTTCTTTTCTACTTCCCCTTCCTCTCTACGTTGCTTTTTGTAGTATTTATTTTACAAATTATAATTTTGGTATCCGAACTTAATTGATATTCATATTTAGTATCTAAAATTAATTTTTTATATTCGAGTTCTAAAAATATTGATGCAAAATTATATTTTAGTATCTAAGCTCTTCTTTCTTGCATTTTGTATCTAATTTTTTCCAAATTTACAAATAGGCAGGGGAGTAGCCAGGATTTCGACTAGGGTGGGTCCACTTTCAAAATATATACATGATAAAATAGTTTTTGTTAAAATTTTAAATTATTAATAATATAATCTTATATTTAATTTTTTGATAAAGTAAAATAAATTAATAATCAAAACTATCAAAAATATCACTCTCTATGTACCAAACATTTATTCATAATTTAGTTATTCGTTCGCTTTCGAATGGTGTTCTTTGCCAATAATTGTTTAGTATCAATAACTCGAGTTGTTGAAAGAGGTTTAATATGAATTTTGTACAAAAAATTATTCATGATTTAGTTATTTGTTCTCTATCGACTTATGTTCTTTGTCAATAACCGTACTATCTATAATTAGAGTTGTTAGGTGAGATTCAATAATATATTTTATACTATTTACCAACACACCCCGTTGTAAGAAACTCAAATTATATGGAATTTAAGTTTGCACAAATTTGAATACTATATGTGCTTAACGAATGAGATAGCCAAAACTCAAACACAAGACCTTTCGATCAACAATTAGCAATTAACACACCGTAATTTTCAGTATCAATTAACTATTATACCTAATTTAGTCATTTTTCTCTCGAGCTAGTGTGGGTCTCGGGACCCACCCTACTGCCCTTTACCTCCGCCCCTGCAAACAGGTCCACTGCTAAGAAACTTCTTGTAAGTTTTGAAAATCTTCTAACATGCTTTTATAAACTTCTGACCTATTTTGAGGTTCTAGCATGTTTTGAGATTCTAGTCTACTTTGAGGAGGTTCTGACCTGCTTTGAGAAGATTCTGGCTTATTTTAAAGAGGTTCTTACATGCTTTGAAGTTCTGGTCTACTTTGACCACTCGCTTCCTCACGTTTAATGCAAAAAGGACGAGGAGTCCCCCATGCTCTTCCCAAATTTTTCATAATACCAGGTGTGCCCCTCTTTCTCCTTCCCTTTTCCCCTCATTAATTATGTTCAACTCATCCTCCATTAATATATGGTAGAGTTTTGTGTAATTTTCTCAATTTCAAATTTCCTACAGCGAGAGTGAAAGTAGGAGGACATTTTTGTCTTTACAATTAATTATTTATTTCAAATAAAAGATATCAATATCAAGATTTGAACTCAAATCTTTTCAAACAAAGAGAACAATCATAACCAATTACACTAAATGAATTTGTTGTTTCTATTTGAATACAAAATACAAGTTAAACTCTGGAAAGTGAATGACTTTTACATTATGATAAGCAAGCCCACTAAGTCTACCGTATGTATTTTTATGATGCTTAATACTTCAATTTTCATAGTAGAGTTTCATTTAGTTTTATCCATTTTAAAATTCATGTTCTCTCCTTAATTTTCGCTTAGGTAAATTTGTAATTGCTAAAATGGAAGAAATTATTTCTTTTACTACGTGTCATGTCATTGCATTTTTAAATTTAAATTTAAATTTGTGCTTTTTATCTTTATTCTTATCTCTTTCTAACTTCCTCCGAAAGTCCCTCCATCGTGCAATAGCCAATAGTTGGTCCTTTCACTTCCTAGTACAAGGGCACATTTGAAAATTAATCTTCCAATTTCTCTTGGCACGATACTTTATTCTTGGGGATTTAAGCTGGCAAGTAGAAAATTTCAAATCCGATATCAATCCACGGGGAATATAATGGAGTTCAATCAAGTAGTTATGGATTTGAACTTGGAGTCGAAGAGTTGGAATTGAGTTTGAGAATGGAAGTGGGG